GGGCCGAGGCCGAGGCGGGCGGATTGCTCAAGGTCAGGAGTTCGAAACCAGCCTGACGCAGAGAGACCCCGTCTCTACATAAAATAGAAATTAAATTCAATTGAGCCAACTAATATGTATACATAAATTAGCCGGCAAGGTGGCACATGCCTGTAGTCCAGCTACCGGGAGGCTGGAGCAGAAGGATCCTCGAGCCCGGAGATTGAGTGCTGCTGTGAGCCAAGGGCTGACGCCACGGCACTCACTCTGGAGCCTGGGGCAACAAAGCGAGACTCTGTCTCAAAAAAAAAAAAAAAAAAAAAAGAAGCATGAACAAAAAAAATAGAGGTAGGGGGATCCAACAAGGAAGGGTTGCTAGAGAAAGCCTGGTCTCATACATCCTTTGGGATGGTTTGAAATCAATATCAAATCAAGCCAGATTAGTAGAGAGCTAGCCAGCATTGACTGAATTGTGCTTTAGAATGTTGCTATTGGCCTACATTGAGAATTGCTGTAAGAAACAGTTCTATAATGGGGACAAACATGAAAGGCAGGTACCAAGTGTTGAAGAAAAGTCAAGGTTGAGGCCAGAAAAAAGGCTGTTTGATGAGTGTTATCTGGAGAAGGGATTGTGCTGCTTTCTCATTCAATCAGCCAAGTAGTAGTTTGGATTTTGCCAAGAGGTTAGTCTCTTGAACAGTTTATAGAGCCTTCCTGTGGGAACAGCCATCTAAGCCAATAGGTGTTTAAGCAGCTAGCCTAGCACTTTTAGACAAAACCTCAACAACTTATATATTCTTTTGTTTTCAATTGACAGGTAACATTGTTATGTTTTTATTTATTTTTTTTCTTTTCTTTAATATATTTTTTTTATATTATTTTATCCTTTACATTGTTATGTTTTTATTGTGTACCACCTGATGTTTTGAACTACATATACATTGTGGAATGGTTAAATATAGCTAATTAACAAAGGCATTACCTCACATAGTTGTCAGTTTTGTAGTAAGGCACATAATATCCACTCTCTTTACATTTTTCAAGAATATATCTTCAACAACTATAGTCACCTTGCTGTATGATAGATCTCTTGAAACTTATTCCTCCTATCTAACTGTAATTATGTATCCTTTGACCAATATCTCCCCATCTCCCCTCCTTATATTTCTATGTTCATCCTTTTCTTAAATCATATGAAATTCCATCTAAAACTATCTTCTTCCTCATTAATGCAGGTAACGCAACCTGCTGCCCTCCCAACAAAGTGGTCTTTAATATGAATTAAGATTTCTTTTTGAATAACTAATATCTAAAGCATTATAGTATTGGTAGCATGGATGATTACCTGGACTGATATGCATTGTAACGCCAAAGAATGTGGGCCAAGCATTAAGAGGAAGACAAAAATACAGTTGCCATGTAATTCCCATGTCCTTTCCTAGGTAGTCTTGTCTAATTGTAGAACTTATTAGTTCTTTTTAAGCCCAGTAGGAAATCATAAAAATAAGTTAAATAAAATACACAAATAAAAAAGAGTCCTAGGAAATGCATCACTGTGTTCAGTTATACCACATGTCCTCCTTATGAAGACCCCTGGTCTACATTCAATAAAGAATAAACATATTTTTTGAACAACTGACTTGTTTTATGTCTCACAAACATTGTAAGTTTTGTAACCAACAGGTTGGTTCCTAAAACAGGCCAAAATTATGGCTCATACTTAGGTCATAATTTACACATCTTTAGCCTTATTCACAACTCAACTTCATTCTCACCCTAGTTTGTGTGATTTCTCCCTTGTCTTTGATATAGCCTTGTAGACCACATTAGATCCTGTCTAGAACAAGGCAAGGTACAGATAAAACAAAACAAAGACAACTTTGGGTTAATCAATGTTCAAGTTGCCCAGTTACCAGTTCTTTCCGTAGCCTGGCTAACTCCTCCTTCTTCTGCTCTTCCTCCTGTTGCCTGGCCTCCTCCAACTGCTGGGCTTTCTGGGCTTCAATCTCAGCCATTCTTTTCTCCAGCTCCTGCCGCTCCTTGGCTCTTCTCTCAGTGGCCAACTGAAAAGGTTCCTGAACTAGAGAACCAGAAAGGCCCTCTGAGTACAGAAACAGAGAGTATATTGGTACACAAGCAGGACTTGTATAAAGCTAGCCCCCCTGAATTGAGCAAATGGCACAGACATGCATAGTAACAAAAGGGTCAAGCTCTAAGGATGCCCCAATGGGAGAAAGGTGGAATAAAACACATACATGCTGGGTGCAGTGGATCACACCTGTAATCCTAGCACTCTGGGAGGCTGAGGCGGGTGGATCGCTCAAGGTCAGGAGTTCAAAACCAGCCTGAGCAAGAGCGAGACCCATCTCTACTGAAAAAATAGAAAGAAATTAATTGGCCAACTCGAAATATATAGAAAAAATTAGCTGGACATGGTGGTGCATGCCTGTAGTCCCAGCTACTCGGGAGGCTGAGGCAGAAGGATCACTCAAGCCCAGGAGTTTGAGGTTGCTGTGAGCTAGGCTGACGCCACGGCACTCTAACCCAGGCAAAAGAGTGAGACTTGGTCTCAAAAAAACTAAAAACACATACAAAAAGTCTCAGAATTTTAAGAGTTGGAAGGGCCCCTAGAAAACATCTAGAGCAATTGGGAAAAAAATAAGACCCACAGAAGTGAAGTAGCTTGCTCAAAACTAGAATGATTTTGGCCGGGCGCTGTGGCTCACGTCTGTAATCCTAGCTCTTGGGAGGCCGAGGCGGGTGGATTGCTCAAGGTCAGGAGTTCAAAACCAGCCTGAGCAAGAGCGAGACCCCGTCTCTACTATAAATAGAAAGAAATTAATTGGCCAACTCATATATATAAATTAGCCGGGCATGGTGGCACATGCCTGTAGTCCCAGCTACTCGGGAGGCTGAGGCAGAAGGATTACTTGAGCCCAGGAGTTTGAGGTTGCTGTGAGCTAGGCTGACGCCACGGCACTCACTATAGCCTGGGCAACAAGCGAGACTCTGTCTCAAAAAAAAAAACGTAAATTAAGACAAGACCTTTTTTACCTACGAGACTGTGTAACATTTAAAGGACCAATTAATACTAGTATTGGCATGTGTGAAGAAAAGTGAGTACTCACATAAGTTGGAATAAAGTAAGGATATAAATTGGTTTAACCTTTTGAGAAATGTCTATTAAATTTCTAAATGGTCATACTCTTTCACCCAATATAAAACTTCCAGTATTTGATCTCATTTAGTTTAGTTTTGTTTTGAGTTGTATGTCCAACACAGTTTTCAAAAGAGTAAAAAATTACAAATAACTCAGTTACTATTTATCAAGAAATGACCAATTAAATCCTTTGGCACATCGTGGTACAACAACACAATAGAATATTATACAGCCATCAAAAATAAAATGTTTATTACTGAGATAAAACAGTGTTCATCTAAGCCAATGTCTGTCTCAAAAAAAAGAAAAAAAAAAACAGTGTTCATAATGTGTGGAAGGCAAGCAGCTGAAACAGAATATCATTTTTTTTTTTTGCTTTTTAAATGTACATATAATTAATCTAAGTATGGAAAATAAAAGAACACTGAACTATTAATTCTCATATTTCTTTGAGGGTAGATTATTTTCGACAGAGTCTCACTCTGTTGCCTAGGCTAGAGTGCCATGGCATCAGCCTAGCTCACAGCAACCTCAAACTCCTGGGCTCAAGAAATCCTTCTGGGCCGGGCGCAGTGGCTCATGCCTGTAATCCTAGCTCTCTGGGAGGCCGAGGCGGGCAGATCGTTTGAGCTCAGGAGTTCGAAACCAACCTGAGCAAGAGCGAGACCCCGTCTCTACTATAAATAGAAATAAAATTAATTGGCCAACTAAAAATATATAGAAAAAAATTAGCCGAGCATGGTGGTGCATGCCTATAGTCCCAGCTACTTGGGAGGCTAAAACAGGAGGATTGCTTGAGCCCAGGAGTTTGAAGTTGCCGCGAGCTAGGCTGATGTCATGGCACTCTAGCCCCGGCAACAGAGTGAGACTCTTGTCTCAAAAAAAGTGCTACAGAAAAGATTATCTTTGAGGGATCAAAGAACAGTATTATGTAACATGCAGAGATAGAAACACCTACCTCCCCTTTCTGCAGTTCTTTTATTTTCTTCTCCTTCTGTAACTGACGTTCTTTGTCTCGTGAATCAAAGGAGAAAGGACACATCTCCACAGTTCTTCCCTCTACATTTTGGGGCTTAAAAGGCACCCCATAATGTGGTACAGGTTGAGCTTTTATTACTACTGGTTCATCCTCTTCCTAAGTAAAAAAAATACAGTGTAGAAATAAGACTTCTCACTCCAATCAAAAGAAATCCAAAAGTAAGAAGCAAAAGCTGCTCTAGATGAAAAGAAATCAGCAAAAGATCTCTGGATACATGAAAAAGCAGAATGAAAGGACACTCCCAAAAGAAAACAGTAACTCTGTAGTAATGGAAACCAACCAAAACAAGAATACTGAAACAACTGATAAATAATTTCAAATATGGATTGTACAGAAGCTCAATGAAATATAAGAGATAATAGAAACCCAACACAAAGAAACCACAAAAACAAGGAAATGAATGGAAAATTCACTAAAGAAATCGAATTATTCTGCCTAGAAATACCAGGTGCTGTACTTTTTAATTTTTTGTTATTATTTTCTAATTCATTTTTTAAAATATTTTTATTTATTTATTTTTAATTAAAAAAGTAAAAGAAATCAAATTATTAAAAAAAAATTCAAGCAGAGCTTCTGGAAATGAAAAATCCCTTCAAGGAAATACAAAATGCACTGGCAAGCCTTAAGAATAAGCTAGATCAGGCAGAAAAAAGAATCACAGAGCAGAAAATAACACCTTTGAATTAAACAAGTCGGCCAAAGAGAAAGAACAAGTTGGGTGCAGTGGCTCACACCTGTAATCCTCAGCCTCTGGAAGGCTGAGGCAGGAGGATAGCTTGAGCTCAGGAGTTTGAGACTAGCTGGAACAAGAGTGAGATCCCCTCTCTATGAAAAATAGACAAAAAAAGTCGGGCGTGGTAGCACATGCCTGTGGTCCCAGCTACTCAGGTGGCTGAGGCAGGAGGATCACTTTGAGCCAAGGAGTTTGAGGTTGCTGACGCCATGGCACTCTAGCCCAAGCAGCAGAGTGAGACTCTATCTCAAAAAAAAAATTAAAAATAAAAGATCTGAAGTTTTTCACAAGAATGTTGTAAAAACTAAATGAGATCAAGTACAGGGTGTCCTGTACTTTGCAAAAATTTTGTAATGAACATTTTGTAAATAAAAGTACATTTAGCTACAATTTCCCATTTTCCCTGTGTATGTCAGCTGTTGGGACACCTTGTAGTATGAATAAAATGAAGATCAGAAGATAGGTCTCAATCAAGCATATACCTTAGCCTCTTCTTTCATGTTGCCTCCAGACTCCACTAAAACATGTGACTAGGACTTAATAGTTGCCAAACCAAGAATAGGACCAAGTAAGTTGTTTGAGTTCAAGCTGGTAACACAAGATTACTGTGTATTTTAGTTTCAAATGAACCTATAAAAAGGTGTATGCCTGAGATCCGCTATAAAATTACCCTAACTCTGGATATTTATAGATAAAATGGGAGATGTAATAAGAAACTAGCATGATCAATGCCAGTTTAAGTATTTTAATTTCATGAACCATTAACCACACAGTCCACCGTAGCAATTCCTGGGTTAATGGAGATAGGAGAAGGTGGATGTAACTGCTTTGTATGAATTTTAAAAGTTCCTCACTGAATAGCAACAACAACTAAGGCAAAATAAAGTACAGAGTTTGGCAACTTGTTTTTCTTTTTTTGAAACAGAGTCTCACTCTGTCGCCCCAGCCAGAGTGCAATGGCATCATCATAGCTCACTAACTCAAACCCCTGGGCTCAAGTGATTCTCCTGCCTCAGCCTCCCAAGTAGTTGGGACTACAGGAGCATGTCACCATTCCCAGCTAATTTTTTCGTAAAGCCAGGGTCTCGCTCTTGATCAGTATGTTCTCCAACTCCTGGCCTCAAGCAATCCTTCTGCCTTGGCCTCCTGGAGTGCTAGGATTACAAGTGTGAGCCATTGTACCTGGTCCCAGCTCGGCAACTTTTGGTCCATGTTACAAAGGTAATTTTCAGTGCTACAGAAACAGATAATCCTCCAATGCCTAACTTTTCCTCACTGTTTCCATGAATTGTAACTAGTTCTCACTGAGAGCCAGAAGATTCATACCCTTACCAACTACTTTGTTCTTGGAGGAGCAAAGAAAAGATGATCAAATGTTCATATTCATGCTTAAAGACAACTCCAGAAAAGAGTGGTTACCTTTAAACTCCATTAAGTTTAAGAAATAGTAAGGCTTATACCATATGCAGAAGCAAAAGAAACCCCCTGCCCCCAGGCAATTCACCTCATCTCCTTTGGTGGGTATTCGGATTCTATTCTTCAATGCGAAGGCTGGTGACTTGGGGACAGTGATTGGAAGTACCTTCTTTTCAGGAACACCCTGGAAGGGGTAAGCAAATCAATTATACATCCCAGAATAACTTCCACTAGGCTGTCTGAGAAGATTAAATTCCTTTCTTAAAGAAAAGTTTATGTATCGGGAATCGAAAAAGTCTATTATTTTATTATGTTGTTCACCTAAGACAAAGTCATATCTGGTATGTGGTAGCACTCCAAAAGTGGATTATAACATCATGACAGAAGAGCAGCAAATAACAAGGACATAGGTAGAGTTGTATATCCAGTAAAAATATGATTCATCAAAACTCTTTTATTCTCTTCCTCTTGTTTTTTTGTTTTTATCTTTTTTTTTTTTTTTTTTTTTTTAAGACAGGATTTTGCTCTGTTGCCCAGGCTGGAGTATAGGGGCAAGATCATACCTCACTGCAACATTGAACTTCTGGGCTCAAGTGATCCTCCTGCCTCAGCTTTCTGTGTAGCTGGGACTATAATAGGCTCATGCCACCATGCCCAGCTAATTTTTTAGTTTTTGTAGAGATGGGGTCCTGCCATGTTGCCCGGCCTGACCTTGAACTCCTGGCCTAAAGCAGTCTTCCCACTTTGGTTTCTCTTCCTTTCTATTCCCAATCCCTTGAAAACAACATTTTTAAAAAAAGATTTCTAAATGTATCTATGATCAGAACACATTCTGTCCATTCTTTTAAACCTATTCCATATATAGCTCTACAATGAGAACTTCTGTTCATAAATATTACCTTCAAAGGGCAAATAGGGAAATGTATTGGGCAAAGGGCTAGTTTAATTTATGTTTGCAAAGTAAATGGCCAAAGAACAAGAACAAGCAGTTCACAAAGTTATAGAAGAGGATTAATCTCAATAATTTTTTTTTTTTTGAGACAGAGTCTTGCTCTGTTGCCTGGGCTAGAGTGCCATGGCATCAACTCAGCTCACAGCAACCTCAAATTCCTGGGCTCAAGCAATCCTTCTGCCTCAGCCTCCCAAGTAGCTGGGACTACAGGCATATGCCACCATGCCCGCTAATTTCTTTATATATTTTTAGTTGGCCAATTAATTTCTTCTATTTTAGTAGAGACGGGTCTCGTTCTTGCTCAGTTAGTTTTGATCTCCCTGGACCCTTGACCGAGTCTCCTGCCTCGCCTCCAGAGTGCTAGGTTAGTGCGGGAGCCACGTGCCCAGCCAATCTCAATAATTTTTACAAACGTATTAGGGCGGCGCGGTTGGCTCACGCCTGTAATCCTTGCACTCCTGGGAGGCCGAGGCGAGGCGATTGCCTGACCCTCGGAGTTCCAAACCAGCTCGAGCAAGAGTGGACCCCGTCTTACTATACATAGACCAGAAATTAATTGGCCAACTCATATATATACTATATAGTAAATAGTACAAGAATTAGCCGCGGGCCATGGCTGGCACCATGCCCTCGTAGTCCCGCAGCTACGTGCGGGAGGCTGAGGCCAGAAGGATTAACTTGAAGCCCACAGGCATTTGGGTTGCTGTGCGAGGCTAAAGGGCTGACCGCCATGGGCACTCACTCATAGTCGGGCGCCAACAAGCCGCAGACTCTGTCTCAACACAAGCAAAAACTAAATTAGCACCAACTTTCTCTTTACCGTACGACGGACTGCTGGTGAACCAATTGTACAGGACCAATTAAGTACTACAATATTGGCATGTGTGAAGAACAAAGTGCAGTACACCGTCAACCATAAGTTGGAATAAAGTAAGGATAATAAATGTTTTAACCTCTTCTTTCGAGACAACACTGTCTCATCTTAACCTTCTCCTAATGGTCATACACACACTCTTGTCACCCAATATAAAACTTCCACAGTATTTGATCTCATTTAGTTACGTTTTGTTTTGAGTTGTATGTCCCAACACAATTTTTTCAAAAGAGTAAACACAATTACAATACACTCAGTTACTATTTATCACAACAGAAATGCACCATTAAATCCTTTCTGGCACACGTGGTAACAACAACACACATAGACACAGTTATACAGCCATCCAAAAATAAATGTTTAATTACTGACGAATACAAACAGTGTTCATAATGTGTGGAAGGCAAGCAGCTGAAACAGAATATCATTTTTTTTTTGCTTTTAAATGTACATATAATTAATCTAAGTATGGAAAATAAAAGAACACTGAACTATTAATTCTCATATTTCTTTGAGGGTAGATTATTTTCGACAGAGTCTCACTCTGTTGCCTAGGCTAGAGTGCCATGGCATCAGCCTAGCTCACAGCAACCTCAAACTCCTGGGCTCAAGAAATCCTTCTGGCGGGCGCGGTGGCTCATGCCTGTAATCCTAGCTCTCTGGAGGCCGAGGCGGGCGGATCGTTTGAGCTCAGGAGTTCGAAACCAACCTGAGCAAGAGCGAGACCCGTCTCTACTATAAATAGAAAAAATTAATTGGCCAACTAATAATAAAGAAAAAAAATTAGCCGGCATGGTGGCGCATGCCTGTAGTCTCAGCTACTCGGGAGGCTGAGGCAGGAGGATCGCTTGAGTCCAGGAGATTGAGGTTGCTGTGAGCTAGGCTGATGCCACGGCACTCACTCCAGCCTGGGCAACAAAGTGAGACTCTGTCTCAAAAAAAAAAAGAAATCCTTCTGCCTCAGCCTCCCAAGTAGCTGGGACTACAGGTATGCACCACCATGCCGGGCTAATTTTTTCTATATATTTTTAGTTGGCCAATTAATTTCTTTCTATTTTTAGTAGAGACAGGGTCTTGCTCTTGCTCAGGTTGGTTTCGAACTCCTGAGCTCAAACGATCCGCCCGCCTCGGCCTCCCAGAGTGCTAGGATTACAGGCGTGAGCCACCACGCCCGGCTGAAAGTTAATTTTCTATATTCCATAATTCTAATTCATTCAACTACTCTGAATATTTTCCCTTAATGATTTCAAAACACTAACATTTAAAATCACTGCAGAATGAATTACATGTATCTTATGGTACACATAATTTAATACATATTAGAAAGTTGTTTGGTAAGCATTTTTCAATTCTCATAGAATTTATACTCTGTCGATTAAATCTGGCAATTAATCCTAACTACAAAATAGTATGTTTTGGGCTGTTGTTCTGAATGAAGTGTATGGCCAGATCAATTTAAAAAAAACAAACCCTGAGACAACTCCTTATTCGTTACATTTGCATCCACATCCTAACCTCTCAGCTCTCTATTCAGCTCCTAAGTCTTCACTGCACACCACAGTCCCACTTCGCCTATTACCTGGGCCATTCCACTCATCTCCTAATAGTCTTTCAGCTTCTCATCTCATTCTTCCAGTTCATCTTCTGTATATAGTCAGGATTATTTTTCTATAACACATCTGATTATGTTACTTCCTGACTTAAAATTCTTTAATGGCTTCTAGGGCATACCTACAAGAGTAGAATAAATCCTTTGGCATGAAATACAAGGTGCTTCATAATCTGGTACCCTGCCCGACTCTCCAGCCTTACCTCAACCCTCCTTACACATCATCTTCCAACTACAGTGAACTACTGGCTACTCCCCAAATGTACCCCTGGTTCTTATCTCAATGCCTTTTCTTGTACTCTGTCTGAAATTCCCTAGCTGCTTACAAGTACCCAACTCATCTTTTCAAGCCTCCACTGAAGCATCTCCTCTTTTTTTCTTTTTTCTTTTTTTTTTTTTTGAGACAGAGTCTTGCTTTGTTGCCCAGCCTAGAGTGAGTGCCATGGTGTCAGCCTAGCTCACAGCAACCTCAAACTCCTGGGCTCAAGCGATCCTTCTGCCTCAGCCTCTCAAGTAGCTGGGACTACAGGTATGCACTACCATGCCCGGCTAATTTTTTCTATATATATTAGTTGGCCAATTGCTTTCTATTTATAGTGAGACGGGGTCTCGCTCTTGCTCAGGCTGGTTTTGAACTCCTGATCTCGAGCAATCCGCCCGCCTCAGCCTCCCAGAGTGCTAGAATTACAGGCATGAGCCACCACGCCCCACCAGCATCTCCTCTTTTATAAAGCCTTTCAAGAGATCCCTCCACTCCAGGCCCTATAGAACTGACCCCTTTCTCCCCTATAGATAGTTCTATCACAGTCCATACAAAACTTCACTGCACTTATTTATTTAGATATTCATCTCCCCCTGTTAGTCTATGAATATTTGAGGGTAAGGATTTTTTTATTCTATCAATCCCTAATGCCTAACATAGACCTTGGCAAGTAAAAGGCATTCAGTAAATGTTTGTTGAATGGAGTAAGAATGAATGAACACATGAGTAACAGAATTTATACCTTGGACTCTAAGAGAATACCTTGGGAGACTTCTCCTTAATCCCAACAATGCTGCAACCTCTCCAAACACTTTTGGAATGTCTTTCTTGGAGTGGCTTTCAAAGCCACTTTTTGTACCATGCAAGACAGTTGCTCACTCTTTACTTTTAATTTAACAAAATTATTTTCACCTCTATTATCTTGGACTACTCAGACATTTTAGTTCCAAATAACTTTAGATTAGCTTCTAAAAGCAAATTAATGTTTAAAATACATATGAAGATTTGTCATCACTGAAGAGATCCAAAAGATTGTAACTCAGGATGCAAGACAAGTGGCTTTTCCAAAATGCTTTGTGCAATATCACAATCATTGGAAAGGATTTACAGCCTCTCAAGGTGACCACTGTGAAGGGAATGCTCATTGTGCTGTGAGATTTCTTGTATATTTTCTAAAGAATGCTAGAACCACTAACCACTAGCATAGTGAAATCCAATACAGCTGATCTTGTAATCAGAGTAACAAATGTCTAAGAAATGGGTTTTAAAATGATGCCTATTGTAAAAGTGCAACAACAAAAAAATCTATTCTACTATATCTTGAACAAGTGGACACCAGCATCATCTTAGAATGTACCTAAAACAAGTAGAAGTGGGAAAAACAGTGAACAAGGAGCTGGGGGTCTGTTCTAGCCCCGCTCTGCTTCTAATCTGTATAACCTTAGCCACATCAGGTTGTCTTCCAGGCCTCAGAGTTTTTTTCATAAAACAAAGTAATTAAAATAAATATCTGAGGACTCATTTAGTTCTAAAATAATCCAAATTTTTTCTATTTTCCCCTCTCTGCAGAGAAATTTGCATTTTAAAAGAGGAGCAATGTTAACCTCTAATAATAAAGGAGAGATTTATGAATGGGATCAATCCTCATAATTAATTGGGGGGAGGAAAAGATGATTTATGAAAATCATTTTTGCAGCAACTATCCACCCACACCTCATGTCTACTGCAATTAGAGCTAACTGGGGTGGGGCTCAGTTAGAAACAATGAAAAGGAAAGTGGGCTTCCAGAAACAGAGAAGTCGTCTTGTTTTGCTATTTTAAGTTTTTAAAATTATGAGCTCCTTGAGGAGCTGGGATATTGCCATTTGCATTCCTTTGCCTTCTCCACAGCACCTACAAGATGATCTGATAAATAACTGTTCTATGAACATGTGCAGGCTAACATCACTGTACTTATTTATTTACATGTCTATCTGCTCTACCAGACTGTGAAAGCTTTGAGAACAAGGGCCATGTCTTATTGTATCTTTGAATTCCCACTATCTAACATAGGCTAGAAACACAGGCTGGTGCATTTCAGCTTGTACTGTCACTCACTCGGTTATATAGTATTGGAGTGGCTGTGCTGTGGCAGTCACTATGCTAGGTGCTGGAAACACAGAGTAAATAACATAGAAATACATGATCCCTACTCTCAGGGACCTCAGATTCTAGTGGAGGAAAGAGATAATAAGTAACAAACCAAATACTTTCCAATTTTCATAGGTGCTGTAAAGAAACACAGCAGAATGTGAAGCTAAATGCTATTGGGAGAAGTGCCCAATAGGGAAGTTTAGAGAATGTTATCTGTAAGGAGGTGGTATAGGGTTAGAACTGGGCAATGTGAGTGGACAGACGACCCATTTAGGAAAAGCAGCCAGGAATGGGGGATGGGGATGGGGAGTTGAACATTTCTCCCTAAGGCAGGATGTGCCCTCAAGTTCCCTGGAACAAGCTCTCAGGCCTGTACCAGAACAGTTAGGAAATTACTGTGAAGCAATGTTATCTCAGGAAGTATATAAAAAACCCCAAAACAACAGCAGCAGCAGCAACAACAAAAACAAACCTTGCTGGTCTCCCCAAGCCATCCCTAAAATATCTCTGCTAAAATTACTCACTGGCCTCACTGACACCACCTCCACTTCCGTGGTACCCAAGGTCTCCATTAGATGTCGGCAGCAAGTTCACATTTTACAGCTCAGGCTCAAGGCTTTCATCACTCCACCTCTGCCTTATGGCCGCTGCTGCTCAAGCCTATCTCTCATCAGCCCCGTTGTCTCCTTGCCATCTATCAGCCACATATGGGAGGGCACAAGAAACACCATAAGGATACACAGTAACAGAGCTTCAGCACTGGGGAGACACAGATGGGGCACGACAGTGTCAGAGAAGCTGCAGTAGGCTCTGGGAGGTGGGTTCTTCAGTTCTGCTCTAAGAGTCCAATACTAGAAGTTCAAAGTCCTACTCTTGTTCTGCCACCAACTTTTAAAAATGTTTCTATAGGCAAGTCACATTCCCCTTTCGAAGCCTCTTTTTCTGAAAAATGAAGAGGGTAGAAGAGAATATATCTCCTTCTATGCTTTGCTTCTCTAGAAACCAAGAATTGAAGAGAAATCACTACAAACTTAAGTACGGAGAGCTGCAAACAGTGTCAAACTCAAAAAATCTCATTTGCCATAATAAACAATGATAACGGTAAGCATTGTGGAGTAGAATAATATAGTTTTAAGGAGACGATGGGCTCAAACCCTGGTTCTGTGTACTAGACATCTCTTATTGTTTGTTTCCTTGTCTAAAGAATAGGGATAAGAATATAATCTACCTCTTTGAGTTGTCATGAGAAATAAATAAGATAATCTACGTAAAGCACTCGACAATGTAAGCACTCAATAAAATGACAATTATTACTATTAACAATACCACTGCTTACTGAGTCAGGCACCATACTAAGTTCTTCACTCAGGTTCCCCCTATGCTGCACCCAACAAATCAAAACTCTAGGGCTGGCCGGGCGCTGTGGCTCACGCCTGTAATCCTAGCTCTTGGGAGGCCGAGGCGGGCGGATTGCTCAAGGTCAGGAGTTCAAAACCAGCCTGAGCAAGAGCGAGACCCCGTCTCTACTATAAATAGAAAGAAATTAATTGGCCAACTGACATATATCTAGAAAAAATTAGCCGGGCATGGTGGCGCATGCCTGTAGTCCCAGCTACCCGGGAGGCTGAGGCAGAAGGATCACTCGAGCCCAGGAGTTTGAGGTTGCTGTGAGCTAGGCTGACGCCACGGCACTCACTCTAGCCTGGGCAACAAAGTGAGACTCTGTCTCAAAAAAAAAAAAAAAAAAAAAAATATATATATATATATACATAAAATATATATGTAAAGTCAATAATGGTACATAAAATATGAGAAAATAAAGAGGGTGGTACATGAATTAAATAAAAAACAAAAAATTTTAAGGGTGGGGAAAGCAAGGAGCTTGAAGAAAAAGATGTCATTAAAAGCAAGTTGCCAAAAGAATGTTATGGAAGCCTTGAAGAAATCATTTCTCTTTTCTGGGCCTCAGTCTTGTAAAACAAGACATCAAGCCATTCTGGATCTAGGATTCTGAGGTTTGCAAATAAACTACATTTTCTATGTTGTATTCAGAACACTGTTTCCTCAGTGGATAATGACAAAGAAGGCATGGCTTTTGGTGACTAATCACTTTGGTGGGGAGAGGTTTCTTAAAAGTTTGTTGTAATAGAGTTTGGCATATAGTACATGTGCATCAGAGCAAAATAAGAAAAAAAAAAAGAGCACTGTGAATAGAAGAGAGGTCTCAGATGCAAAAAACTTTCAATTGAAAGAGTACAATATGAGGGAAGTAAAGTATGTTTCTAAACATAATATGACTTTTGTAAAGCCTAGAAAATATAACTTTTGTTGCTTCTGACTTTGTGCTAAGAAAATAGAATATCTAAAATCAGGTATCCAGTTGAAGGTAATATCTTGATGCACAGTTTCACCTAAAATGATCGTGACTCTAAAACAAGCAAAAAGAAAAGAGGGCAGGGCTGGCACGATGGCTTACACCTATAATCCTAGTACTCTGAGGCTGAGGCAGGAGGATTGCTTGAGCCCAGGAGTTTGAGGTTGCTGTGAGCTATGATGACACCACTGCACTCTAGCCTGGAAGACAGAGCGAAATCTAGTCTCAAGAAAAAAAAAAAGAGGATAGAAAAACAGAGAGTTCTTCTAGTGTTAACCTGGACATAAATTGATCCAAACCAGGGGGTTGGTGGGAAGGATGTGGTGTTCTTCATCTGAACAAAAATTTATCTAAAAATCACCTCACACTTATGCAAGTGTTTAACTCCATTACTTATTCTTTGCTTGTGGCACTGCTGCCTGATTGCGTATTTTCTCTAAAATCGTGGTTGTGAGGCTACCATCAAACTACAACCCACTTCTCTAGTTTCCAGTTGTTCTTGATAAACTTCTTTTCTCCAGCTTAAGTGACCCACTAACAGTTCCCCATAGATGCTCCATGTTCTACCTTCAGCCATTTTTTCATGTTACTTCCACTGCCTGGAATGCTCTGCCAGTCCATTTCATTTGCATTTCTGCAAGTCCGAATTCTATCATATAGTGGACAGGCAATATAATGAAGAGCTAAGTTCACAGACTTTGGAGCCAGAGTGCCTGAATTCTCAACCTTGCTCCACCATGTATTAGCTGAGTGCTCTAGGATTATTATATAACTTCTCTGGGCCTCAGTGACCTCATCTGAAACAAGTGATAATTAAGGCAATCTCCCTGAAGGAACTATTGTCAAAAATAATAGGCTAATATGTGGAAAGGTCTGAGAGTAGTGCCTGGCACATAGCAGAAGTGTCAGGAATTACGATAACAACTACTACTACTACACATTGTCATGGCTCAGGTCATGCTGTCTCCTCCACAAAGCACTACTTGAACCTTCTCTCTACATTCTCCCCTCTGAATTCCTATAGTACCTTAAACTGTCATCTCCCTTAGAACACTTCTGTCCATTTTACATTATTCACACATATGTTGTTTCCCATAATAGACTTTAAGTTGCCTAAGAGCAAAATCCACTTCCGATATCTCTTTGTCACCTATAGCTCCTAATATTATACCCTGCTCACAGTATCTACTCAAATATTTCTGTGAATGGGTGGATAGGTGGTCGTGAGCAGGACATTTCTGCCAACATCCAGAGTCCTCAACTATTCTTACCACAACATCTTCCAAGATCTTAGTAGGGCAAGGTCTCGAATGAAATTCAAAGTGTTCATCTTCTGATTTCTTCTTTGACTCTCGATCCTGGATTCTTTTCTCAATCTCCAAATCAAAGCCAATAGGCTGAGTGGGTGGTTTCACAGGTGGTTTCTTGGGCAAGATGGGCCCACCTTCAAGAATTCTGGGATCAAGTTCCCGTGCTTTGAATTTGTATCTGTAAGGTTAGAGTTTAAATGACAACCACAGATTTTTTTTTTAATAAAATGAAAACTACCCAAACAACAAAATTTGCCAAAACCAAAAAATAATCATTAAAATTACCCATTACGCACAGTAAAATTTCAACTTTCTCCATAGCCATTATCTTTATTTACCTCTAGAACAAAGAATAAATGAGACAGTTCTAACATTCCCACTGCATTAAAGGCTGGGGCTTCTCTTCACAGAGGAAGCTCCCTCTCCTTAAAAAAAGCATAAAAAGGAATTTAAAAAAAACGTAGGAAATAACTCCAATGCTAAGTTCTCATTTCCTCCACTGACTATAGCTGTAATAACCCCCTGGGTAGCCATAAAAGGGTGGGATCTACCTAACCTAACCTCAGAAGATATTCCTTAATTAGAATCTAAGTAAGTTCTCCCACTCCAATCTCTGCATTAAATTTTTACCAGTTTACACTCCAGGACATCTCCATAGTCCCACTTTAGTTCTTTAATCATAGAGGCAGGGAAACAGAGCTTACAACTACAGAGCCTACAACTCAAATGCCATAAATTTTCATGAAAATAAAAATATTAACTGTTATCCTTATAGAACTGAGAAGCAAGTAGGGAGGTTTTTGGAACTCTCCCTACTATAACTTACTGTTGCAGTTTCTCCAGTTCCTCAGCCTCCTGCTCTGCTGCACTTTTGTAGGTCACAGGCCTTGCACGCTGTTTGGTTTGCAGTACAGGAGTCTGTGGGTCTCTAGAGATCTTTGGCACAGAAGATTTGGAGGGTAACAGACCTATAAATCAATATGACAGATATTTATCTAGCTCCCTAAGATCCAGTTTACCTGTCAAGTGGTAACTCAACTAGGTAGCCCAGAGACGGGTAAACAAACCACGGAGTGGTGGGCCCTTCCCACTTAGCTTAGCTCACATCTGTCAATCTAACAAACATTCAGTCCCTTCTTCTCCATCACTCTTTATTGAGGGGTATGATTAAGGTGGGAGCCTTTGCGTAAACTATACTCTCATCTTCTGATCTTAAAATCCATCCATGTCTGATGGGTTCCTTATCATTGCATAGGCCTGTACTTTCCATTAACAATGCCAATGATTTCACTGAGCTATGATGACACTCTCTGGCCAGGGCAACAGAGCAAGACCCTATATCAGAAAAAAAAAAGGCAAATGGAGAAAGTAAAAAATCTATGTCAAAGCATTGATATTAAAACCATACCACCACTCATAGAAAATATTAATTTTCCTGGTCAGGGAAAACCTTACAATTTTCATAATTATATAGAATGAATCCTTTAATTTAGACCTTATCAATATAACATAACAGTGGGAGATCAAAACCAAATATATTTATTTTAGAAAGAAGCCATGCTTCAGGCCGGGCACGGTGGCTCACGCCTGTAATCCTAGCACTCTGGGAGGCCGAGGCAGGTGGATTGCTCAAGGTCAGGAGTTCAAAACCAGCCTGAGCAAGAGTGAGACCCCGTCTCTACTATAAATAGAAAGAAATTAATTGGTCAACTAATATATATACAAAAAATTGGCCGGGCATAGTGGCGCATGCCTGTAGTCCCAACTACTTGGGAGGCTGAGGCAGGAGGATCACTTGAGCCCAGGAATTTGAGGTTGCTGTGAGCTAGGCTGACACCACGGCACTCACTCTAGCCTGGGCAACAAAGCAAGACTCGGTCTAAAAAAAAAAAAAAAAGAAGCCATGCTTCAAATATATATACAACTGTTAGTTAGCTATAACTATACAAAGTTTTAAATAAAAATGGCATAAAATAATTTTTCTATTTGCCATCACTAAGATTCTAAAAGCAGGGCATATCAGACTCTAAAAGTCATATATTATTTAAACAGTCATGTTTAATATTTAAATTTTATTTCATTAGAATAAAAAGAAATATTTCATTATTTTCATAATATAAAATCTAACACAATGATTTTAGCTACTAGAACATAATAACAATACTAAGAAATGCTGTACTCAAAGGAATTCATCTGGCTGCTTAATATAGTGCTAAACAACACCTATGCAAGGGTAGGAAAAATTTAGAGACCCTCAAGTGACCAGATTCTGCTTTATCCAGCCCTATGCTCTCAAGAACTATTATATACCATCTCCACTCTTCAGACTTCATCTCCCCTCTTATAGAAATTATTTTCATAAAGTGAGAAACTACAAGATTAGAATCCCATCTGTTGACACCAAATCTACAAATCCACCAGAATTTGCATCCATTCCTCTTATTTTTCTATCCTCCTTTCAAAGAACAGTCACTACACCTGTGCCAAGTACCCCAATCCTACCTGCCTGCTCAAAGACATAACCTATTGGTTATCTCCTCTCTGCTGTATTTTGACAGGGACTTCTGGGCATTCAGATATGTTCTACCTCTCTCCCACCTCCTTTGACTCTTGCCTCTCCCTCCACATCCATAGGCCTTACCATAATTTGTAATGATCTATTTATCTCTCTCACTGAATTAGAAACTCGATGTTGAGTAGTACTGAGTCCATTTTGTTCACCTCTATACTGCCTACACTCAACATAGTGCCTGGTTAGTAGTAGTTAAAAAATTTGCTAAATCGATGAACAAAAACACACAACTTGAATGAATGAATTTCCTATAGGTAAGTAAATGCACTGTCACTATTTGACACATGGCAAAGATATCCTCAAGGTTAGCTTGATTCATTCCCCTTGGCCAATTATTGACCAGGAGGATCATGGTTGATGGATAACCGTGAACACATAGCTGGGTGGTTTGAGAAATTCTAAAGTATACATTTGTTGTCTACATATAGTCACATGCCATTCATTAGCTGAAAAGCTAAATACAAATTCATGCCTCAGATGCAGACAAAGGGGATTCTAGAGGAGGCTTCATCCAGCTATAATATTGGTAGGAAACTTACTAGTATCATCCTTCTTGCTCCTCAAATGATATCTGTTAGGGGTTCGTTTATGGAAGGCTTCGACCTGCTGTGCAAGGGGCACGTATGTAGAAGCTGTTTCATCAAATGTTCTTTTCTTTCCTTGGGACAAGTTGAAAGGCTTAATAATGGTACATCCCTTAGTCACTGGGGCCTGTAAAGAGAAAAGTTGTTCCCCAAATGAAGGGTTATGGAAGAACTAGGATCTACCACAAGCCACATATTCAGCACAAAGGTTCAAAAGAAAAAGGGCCTATGTGAAGCCAAGATTATTACTCTGAAGTTTGTCAGTCCTTGAGCAACGACTATAACTATTCCTACTAGTCTATTCCTATCATTAAAAAAAAAAAGAAAAGGCCGGGCGTGGTGGCTCACGCCTGTAATCCTAGCACTTTGGGAGGCCGAGGCGGGCGGATTGCTCAAGGTCAGGAGTTCGAAACCAGCCTGAGCGAGACCCCGTCTCTACCAAAAATAGAAATAAATTAATTGACAAAATAAAAAAA